AAGACATCGGCTGGAACAACGACGAACTGAGAAGAAACACTGGGGCAGACAGGCACTTATACAGACGGAATTAATCACAAGGACAAGACACAGCTGGGAGGGTAAGAAACACACATGGCCACTGTTGTAGCAATGTTTAATACAAGCCTATTTATAATATTCATTAAAGATCACATGTAAGCTATATGATGTGTGTTACTGAGTTGGGTCACAGAGTTGGAGAGACAGTGGTCGTTCTGGGTTGTCAATGGATGTGTTCATTTTAAGTGAGCTGACACCGAGGATGGGGGAAGTCCAGAGAAGGCCTCAGGTTATAGAGACAGTTAACCTTTGTGTGTTGACTGCTCGTGTGAATGTCATGAGATGATGAAGTTTGAACATATATAGGTGTGGCTCCTGGAGAGAGGGACATGTGACATTTGTGTGGTAGGCTGCATGATAGGGTGTGTGCGTTGAACATGCTTAGTGCAAGTGTATTTAAGAATAGGAAGTGAACATATCATGTCAGTGCCCCTACAAATATATCTAATGGACATAAGGCGGAGTGGCTTAGGAAAAACAGTCTATGCTTGGCATCCATTAATATTAATTTTATGTTAGTTTCAGCTCATGGAAGATAGTGCATTCTAGGAACTGGAGAGACTCCACACCCACTTTTTTCAAAAATTCAAAGGCTTTATTTATTTGTCATGTGTACATAACTATAAAAAGAAAAACATTTCTGAAGCAATAACCCTCTACAACTCTTCATCCCTGGCAGAGCAGATAACTCCCAGCACCAAACTTAGTTTGATCCATCTGCTACATACTTACATCGTGCATGCAGTGCATCATTTTGAGAATTTCAAATGTATTCTTGTCTGTTCTATAGTGTGCAATTAGATGTAGATACTTAAATTGTACAGTGAATATGGATACTATTGCTTTAACCTTTATTTCTCTTCTATTTTACTCTATATTTGTTCAAATAAAATAAAAATAAATTCAAGTTCTATTTATATAGCACATTTTTAAAAGGATTTTTGGTCGAGCCAAAGAGCTGTACATACAGTAAAAATACTTTAGAATAAAGACACTTAACAAAAAATACAACAGCACAGTTTATACAGAATGTCAGTATGAGAAAAAGACACCCTTTGTCCTTAGACCATCACATACAAGGAAAAACTTCCAGAGAAAAACCCCACAGTTTAAAGGGAACATGGGAGAAACCTCAGGGAGAGCAACAGAGGAGGGATCCCTCTCCCAGGACGGACAGACGTGCAATAGATGCCGTGTTTAAATTGAAGAGATAATACATTTACAGCGTAGGTGTCTATAATAAGAAGATGAATCCACAAGGATGTCGACAATCCTGTGGGAGCCATCAGGGAAGTAGTATGATGAGTCAGGCAGGTCCGCAGAGACAGGTTCAGCCACGACTCGAAGTCCAGGGCTCAATCCAGAACTCAGGATAGAGGATCCAGGACACAGGACCACAGCAATAGGATCAGCCTCGACTCAGGATCCCGGCGTAGATATAGACACAAAAAAAAGAGAAATTTGGGGGAGGCTGGGTTAATCAGAACATGAGAATACACAGGTGCAGGCAGAAAGAAGGAAGAAGCAATGCGTCCCCCGACAGTCTTAGCCTATAGAAGCTCAGATTTATTCTATTTCTTTTTTCTCTTCTATTTAAAGATTATTTTGATTCTGTACAATGAGTCCATGCTGCTGTGACAACCCAATTTCCCAACTTGGGATGAATAAAGTATCCATCCATCCATCTTGAAACTCCACATCAGAATGTCCTGATTTTTTCTGGGTGAGTAGATGGGGTGTCCTTCTATCACCCTGCAGTGAGATGAGTCTTGGATCAGGGAGAGATTTCGTTTTATTCTTATCTAAACACAGGGCTGATAGCTCATATATGGGATTTCAAAGGTCTTTTATTTTGAAACTCCACATCAGAATGTCCTGATTTGTTCTGGGTGAGTAGATGGGGTGTCCTATCACCCTGCAGTGAGATGAGTCTTGGATCAGGGAGAGATTTCGTTTTATTCTTATCTAAACACAGGGCTGATAGCTCATATATGAGATTTCAAAGGACTTTTATTTTGAAAACTCCTTACATTTTACATTTACTCGTGGTAGTTATACGTAGTTTGTTTTAAATAATTATTAATCACATTATATAGTACATATTTCTTAATTTAATATGTTTGGTTTGTTTTTATAGATGCTTTTGTTATTGACCGAGTAAGCGCTGGGATTTTACCGTAATGCTTCTAATATTCGCGCACCCCAATATCACGTGCGGGCTGGCTTGACTGTGTTTTCCCAAGTGGAGGCTGGCTTGACCGCAGTCAAAGTCCGATGATGTCAGTCTGCATTACAATTAGCCATGTGCTGCATAATAATTAGCCATGTGCTTCTGGTAACTAGAGCATATAGCCTATCTGTATCACCTAGATTCTAGAATGACGCACACACATATATACATGCCCTAAAGCTGACAGCACCGGACTGCTAACCATGCTAAGCCGTTAGCCCCTAAGTAGCCGTTAGCCCCGTTAGCACGTTTCGCGAAGTGGTGATTTAGAGCTTGGTGTTGGAATTCTGTTTCGGTTAGGTAAAAATTGTTAATATTGTGAGTTAGCCGAGTTTCTTCCCGATAACTGGGTATTATATATTCATAGTTTGTGAAATGTTAAGAAGCCCTCAGACACAGTTTCTTGTAAGATGTTGCATCTGCACCGCCGCGGTGGGGACAATCGGGCTTAACAGGTTTTAAGGGTAGCCTACTGGTATCATAATTCTGTTAAACAATACCCACACTTCTAATCCTGTTATTTACAGATCAAATACATACTCACCACAGAACTTGAGCCACATCGGAGGCACTACGGTCGTCTGACGGCAATCTGCTGCAGCAAAAACAGCATTGACATTAAAAAGCATGGCCGTTTTTCCCTTGCCAACATTTAGCATAACTTTGGAGCGTGGCTTGGTTAAAACGTGAGCGCCCCAGCCTCTTAACGACAGTAATGTAAACTCGTACTGCTCGTTGACCAAAGCTTTCGTTTGAAAGTTAATGTTAATCTTAATGCTACGTTAGCTAACAATGGCTAAATTAACAGATAGCATTAATTAGCTACGAACCAACACACCTTGCAGCGGGCCACACCCGACTGACTAACGTTACTGTTAGGGCGGACATTTTCACAGAGTAAACGTAGCACACGGTAATTCAACAGCACGAGAGCAAATAACTTCATGACAGTTCATTAACTCATTTTGGTGACTTTCAATGCAGTATACTACATATGGTTACGCATTAACTAATATTCCAATGTATTCCAGCAATCCATACTTAACGATCAGAGCTGAGTGACAGAGCTGGCTTCCTTGCGACTGACTGTCTTCTTCCAAAAAGAAATGCATTGCGCGCGATTTCGCGGGGTATTGCGGTGGAATTGATACATTTATTTGATGGACTCATTTTATCCCAACATGACCTAAACACGCTCATACAATGTAGATTCTACACTATACTATTACGTTTTGCATCGGAACATGATACAATTGTATAACATTCACACAATAGGCTTGGATAAATCCAACAGATGGCCAGTGCCCCTTTTTTCAGTGCAGGCGAAAACTTACCAGTTTCATCCACTGTTTCTGCCACCTCCCTCCATGCCTCGCTCCTCCAGTTTGTATCCCGGTAGATGAACAGAGACTGATCATACAGCACCGGGTGATTCACTACCGCTATAATGAATTTTCCCTCCATTTTTTTGAATATGAGGAAATGACCTGCGTAGTCTCTCCCAGCATACACGCGGTTTGATTGGCTAGCGCTTGTACTGTCAGATTTGCATACGCGGGATTTGATTGCCTGATGCCAAGCATCGAGCCTCAAAAGTTGAACATTGTTCAACTTTTGATGCCGATAGATGCTCGTGATGATAAAAGTCACGGCTCGCCACTGGTATACATAGAGCAATAGAGAGGAAGAGGCTGTAGTCTGAGCTCATCACATCATAACCAGGGTTGGGAGTAGGGCTGCAACAAACGACTAATTTGATAATCGATTAATCTATCGATTAATGGACTATTCGGACTATTACGCCTTGCACAATTTCTCAAACACTCTTATTTAGCCATAAACTTTTAGATTTAGCTTGAGGTTGTATTAGGCATGTGGAAACTAACAATGAAGACAATAAAGATGAATACTTGATTAAAAAATACATACATTATTAAATTAACTAAACACATTTTGAACAAAATTAACATTGCTTTTTATAACCTCCTAAGACCCAAGCTGTTTTTTTATATGCATTTTTTATTTCTCTTTGCTATTTGGGCTTATTGGAACCTGATAAGTATAACAACTAAGTATCATCTTTTGACATGATGTACTTTTAGAGAAAAATGATGTCCACATATGTGGACACTCGTTCTGAATTTCCAAAAAAGTCATAAAAGTCACCTTTTTGTAATAGAGTGAAAAACTATTTTATTTCCACCTTGAACACAGCAGTTTTTCCTGGCTGCTTTTGCATGTATTAATAACTTATACACACATCATTTTGCATGTTTTGAACATCTGAGAGTAAAAACAACATGAAAACACTGCATTTTTGCTCCTTTTGGACTGTCACAACTACAGTACGGCTCATTTAAAACGCTACAAACAGTTGCAGGAAGACATCATATGCCTGTAACAAAATATAAAACATTCAAAGCATTTTGCATTGTCACTGTTGCATCTAATAATACCACATAGGCGACTGTTGTATGTGTTTTGAACATCATTGTGAAAAAACAAAACAGTCACAAAAACAAAAACAGTTACAGTATGGCTTATGTGAAAATGTTGCATTGGTCATGTAAAAAAATAAATAGGAATGCCCTTTTCTTTAGGAACATGTACACACCTATGTGTGAAAGGCTGTGTAACAGTTGCGATCGCCTTGCAAGCACAAGAACACTTTGCAGGTCACACAACGCACTCGGGTTCTTCCAGTGCAGCCTGCTACTCTGCAGCGCGCCGCGTTCTTCAGGCTGATCATCTCTGGGAGATGGGCATTCGCCCTCCTGCGGACCGAGACATGGGGCACTGCCGTCACAAAACGTTTCTTCCCTTGATTTGAGTTGTCTTCTTCCTCTGACTGTTCAGAGAGGTCTGCATCGCTTCCTTGACCGTGATGCTGGGCCAAGAGGGTCATAGCCATTTCCGTACGGAACTCAAGGAACTGCATGATGCTCTTCTTTGGTGCAGCACATATTGCGAGGTCTTTGCGGTAGAGTAGCCAGCTGTTGGCTAAAGCCAGATCCGTGAAGTGCATTAGCATCCGCATCGTCCACTTCTTAGTACGGGCGCTCATGCGATAGTAGCTAATCATTCTATCGATCAAATCAACTCCACCCATCTTGAGGTTGTACTCACGGACAATGCTTGGTCGCGAGACAGTCACATATTCTTTCAATTTCTTGTCCCAGCGCTGGCAGGTGTCTTCAGGCTCTGTGCCATGAACAACAGACATCATCAATACTGGTTTGTTGTCGTACCACTTCACTACACACAACTTTCCGTCTTCAGTGGAAAGTTCTGATGAGGTACCTCTTCCTGTGTTTTTCATGGTTTTGTCAGAGGCTAGCTTCTCCTTCGCGCCAGCGAGTCGGTTCTTCATTATTGTACCAGTAATGTACATCTCCTTCTTCATCATTTGTTCCACACATCGGATGCTTGTGAAGAACTGGTCACAATACACTTTCGTGCCACGATGCAGAGTTTGACACAGCCGAGCCAAGACTAAGCCTCCCAACCCCAGGCCCACCTCTTCTTCTTCGACCTGCTCAAGCAGTGCACCTTTACCTTGATACAGATCAAAGTCCAGCACAATGCCATCTGCTGTAGCACAAACGAAGTTCTTGATGCCAACTGGGTTTGGCTTCATTGGCAGATATTGTCTGCATGGACAGGTTCCTGTGAAAGGAATCATCTGCTCATCAATAGATGCGCATTCAGGTCGATTCTGAGACTTGCAGCCTTGCAGAATCCGATCCAGAAAAGGCCTCACCTTCCAGAATTTGTCCCTCTTCCTCAGATCTTTTGGCACATCATCATCAATTAGCACTTTTATTGATCCCCTCAGTCTAAAGAATCTGTTGCGCGTGAATTTGTCAGTGATAGCAGTGATTCTCAAGGCTTTGGACCAGTACATCCTGATTGTTGGGTATCGGATGCAGGACATCAAAATACAGGCACCAAAAAAGTGGTAAACCTCATCTACAGAGGTGTTGAGTAGATCCCCACTCCTAGACAGTGACATAGCATTAGAGCAATCTGAAATCATTTTCATCAAATCTCTATCTATGTACTGTTCAAAATAGTCCAGTGGGGTCCAGCCATTCCTGTCTAGCTCAGTGTCGTCCTCGTGCTCAAACTGGGCAAGGTCTGGCATCAATGGAGTAGCCCTCCAGCGCAACCCACGTCCTGCACAACCAGAATCAGAATACAAATAGTACTTATTGCAAAGTAAGTTACATATTTTTACCCATGCAAGCAATTCACTGAGGTGTATTGGTGCATAACGTAGTTGAATCTGAGTGGACATTTATATGAAATTTGAAAATGTACCCTCAAGGCATGCTAAAATAATAACAATTACCTTTATTGGGCTGTCCCAGAGTGCTTGGTCCTGGTGTTGGCTCTTCCGAGTCATCATCGGAGCGATCAGCCTCGATCTGCTGAGTTTGACGGCGCCGTCTGGGAGTGCGGGATGAACCTGTCCCCGTCTCTGTCCCTGAACCTGTCAACAAGTGTTGTAAATTAACATTTTGCTTCCTATCCTTCACCTAGCCCTGAGGCCCTGCCTAAAATAAACAAATATCCACTGGGTCTTGGCTAACCATTATTTGCACCACGGAGACGTTTACGTCCTCTGCTGTGCTCAGTGGGCTGAGGAATGGGGTCCTCATCATCACTACTGTCATCCTCATCCTCACTGCTGCTTTGCTCCTGTGGTGGGGGTTGATAATTGACATCCAGGATGGAATCATCGTTGTCAGACAAGTCTTCCAAATCTGAGTTGTCTCCATCGATTAACTCAAGTTGCTCCAATGCTCTTTGCACAGAAAAACGCTCTGGAAATAAAAACATGAAAAAATCAAATACAAACCAATGTCATTTATATATGTATGCATTTATGTATTTCTTTGTTATTTATTTCACTGGGACAATGTACAGCTTTTCAACTGCACCAGAGTTAGCTATAAACAACTCTAGCTATTAGCTATAGCAAGGCACATTTGTACTAGCATATTAACATTTTCAACCCAACTAATTTATGTATGTATTAATGTATTTAGTTATTTAATTGTTATTTATTTCATCGGGACAATGTACAGCTTTTTAGCTGCACCAGAGTTAGCTATAAGCAGGGCTGCACATAACTGGTGCGCAGGTGCGCATGCGCACCTCCGCCAAAAAAAGAGCACCGGGTCATTTGAAACAAAGCGCATTTGCGTACCAACATTGAGAGAGGGAGAGAGAGAAGGGAGAAGAGAAAAGAGAAAATAGAGGAGAGATGAGAGAGAGAAGAGAGAGAGAGAAAGATATTTGCGAGTTGCATACATGTATGAACCATGATATGAACTCAGGGTCGGCCCGTAGCACTGGCTAGATGTTCGCCTAGGGCGCCAGATCTGTGGAGGCGCTGCGCTGGCAGTTCTGGGAGGGAAAAAAACATTTTGACCGTTGGGGCTCATCCTAATTTTCAGCCTTGATGTAACAACATTCATAATTAAGTAAATGTAAACACCCTTTTCACCCCGGTTACACGTTTCATTTGCCCTGTACGATGGGCGCTGTAAGTGATGAAAATGGGGGATGTTGGCTTATCTGGCGCCCGCAGCTCACAGCCAAAATGCGAGTGAGCGAGGGAGGGTGCACCGGTACCAGCGCTGTTGTTATTAGAATCTGGTGCCGTGCTAGCTGCTCTAACGGAGATAAGAAGAAGATGTTTCTACAATAATGTGGAGGGAGAGTCCTCTCCATTCAGACTGATAACTACAGCTCAGTGAAGTAAAGTCTAAGTTCAAACGGTTTGGTCGCAATTTATGTAAACACATATTTCCAAGGCACTCCTTTATAATTATTGGGATAAACAGGTTTTAAATCATTCCAATGTACACTATAGCACAGTAACCAAAAATATCCTTTAAAACTGGAGATAAAAAAAAATGCATAAATAAATGTTAAGGTAAAATAAGATATGAATGAACAACACAAATAAAACAAGTTACATTAATTTGTTATTGGCTATGGTAGGTTATTGGTTATGTTCACATACTTATTTGATTACATCCACTTGTCTAAGATGACAACAGAGACTTTCGACCCAAAACCAGCTGTTGACTTGTGGATGCAAGCAACTAATCGCAGACTCAACCAGAGAGAAAGAAGTAGGCCTACATCATCAGCTACCATGTCTGACAGAGAGGAAGACAGTGAGGAGAACAGTCAGGAGGGTAGTGATGACAGCTTGTAGTCGTGCTAATGTTGTCTTGTGTTCACCTCTGCATGTGTGTTCTGTGTTCACCTCAGCATGTGTGTTCAGTGCCGTGTGTCTGGCAAATAAAGTCAAGACCCCCTCAAAAGTTACGGTTTATTTCATTTTAAGGATGAGCACCAAGCAACATCTCCAGGTGCTCCTTTGAGAACCAGGGCAAAAAAGTTATGTGCACCCCTGGCTATAAGCTATTTTACTTGTGCACATTTTTACTAATATATTAGCATTTTCGACCAACCTAAGTCCCGATGTACACATACATCATGTTTAGCAGCATACCAAATTGTTATTTTTACACATTTTTTGTCAAATTTGCATGTCATGACAAACGTACAATGCTTTGATAAATATCTAAATCAGAAAAAGCCTTGAAATATGATAGGACTTCTTACCTTGTCGAGGTTTGTATTTGGAGCTGCCACTTGAATGATCCCTTGTGTTTGTCGCCATTTTGAATTTTTACCGTAGTGTGTTGTACTCTTCTGACACCACCAGATAGCAGTGTAAGTGCCCACATACGTGGCCATGAGGCCCCAGTTCAGCAGAATTAACGACTGTTACGGAAGAAGAAGATGTTTCTACAATGATGTGGAGGGAGAGTCCTCTCCAGTCAGACTGAGAGGCTGATAACTACAGCTCAGTGAGGTAAGGACTCTTGAGTGTTTAGATAGTTAACTTTAGTCTAAGTTCAAACGGTTTGGTCACAATTTATGTAAACACATATTTCCAAGGCACTCCTTTATAATTATTGGGATAAACAGGTTTGAAATCATTCCAATGTATACTATAGGACAGTAACCAAAAATATCCTTTAAAACTGGAGAGATAAAAAAATATGCATAAATAAATAAATGTTAAGGTAAAATAAGATATGAATGAACAACATAAATAAAATAAGTTACATTAAATTGTTATTGGCTATGGTAGGTTATTGGTTATGTTCACATACTTATTTGATTACATCCACTTTTCTAAGATGACAACAGAGACTTTCGACCCAAAACCAGCTGTTGACTTGTGGATGCAAGCAGCTAATCGCAGACTCAACCAGAGAGAATGTAGTAGGCCTACATCATCAGCTACCATGTCTGACAGAGAGGAAGACAGTGAGGAGAACAGTCAGGAGGGTAGTGATGACAGCTTGTAGGATTACTGGTCGTGCTAATGTTGTCTTGTGTTCACCTCTGCATGTGTGTTCTGTGTTCACCTCTGCATGTGTGTTCAGTGCCGTGTGTCTGGCAAATAAAGTTCAAGACCCCCTCAAAAGTTACGGTTTATTTCATTTTAAGGATGAGCACCAAGCAACATCTCCAGGTGCTCCTTTGAGAATCAGGGCAAAAAAGTTATGTGCACCCCTGCTAATAACGTTATTCTGAGAGTTATTTCCCTCGGCATTATGAACGCGCATCTAACCCACGGGACCGCGCTGCCCGGCACGTTCATGTGATGTGATGTGACGTGACGTGTTCAGCACCTCCCCCTTCACACGCGGTCACGTTCAGTGTTCACTGTCACGTCACTGAGGCTAAAGAGACAACGCTTTATATATACAGTCTATGCTAACAACCGACAACAGTTTGCTCCAAAAGGTAAGATACGAAAACATATTTATTTTCTAACCTGCCTCCTTAATGTCTGTATGTAATGTAACATGTTCTCATATAAAAGAGTAAAATAAGCCAAACCACTCATCAGCAACCGCTACTGTGGCTAAGCTAATGTTGGGTGTTTGCACAGTAATTTTCCATACTTTTCATAGTTAACCAAAATGCTAGAAATGTATGCATGCCAGCAGTTCTGCAATGTTAACTCTGTATGCATTAGCTAACTTTCTAGAAACCAGACTTTGCATTTATAATTCGTTTTATATATATATATTTCTATTTAAAATCTATAAATGTGAGATGAAAAAACTAAAAATGACATATCTTTTTCACAACTAATTTCCAATGCAATGTCCCTACCATTATAAACGACGATGCATACAGAATCTTCAAGAACACATATTATTTTAAAGAGGCGTGAAGAGCTAATCATTTGTACTTTATTTATAGATGGCAGAAATAGCCGGATCGTCATCCAGAGGAAATCCTGAAGGAAAGTGGGCCTCCCGCCATACTTGGACAAGGTGCTGTATAGTTTTTATAAGAATTTTTATTCATTTTGTTTCAGTAATTTTTTGATTGCATACCCTTTACTTTCATATGGCAAAAACAAATATATTGTACCTTATTTTTACATCTGATAAGTGAAATCAGTTGATTGTGACCTTATCACAAAAAGTCAGTGACTTGATACATCCTGCTTCGTAATAATGCATGAAATCGTCATGCATTATTTAATGTAATATTAATATATAATCTTAATCCTTATAAAGTTTCATCATGATTCTATATACAAGTATAGAGTTATATGTAATATAATATACAAATTAAACTTGTGTAGTCTTAAAATATGATGAAAATGACATGACAACTCAGGCTACATGTACCGCCTTTTTCTAAAAGATGATCACCAGTAAACACTTTTTTCCTTTTTCAATATATTTTATTCTATCTAGGTCCCAATGTGTGGATAATAGGGAGCAGCTACGTTAGACGTGGGGAAGAAAGAGCCAGACACACCATGGGAAGCAACCTGGGTCTCAATTGCCGTGTGTGGTGGTTTGGCAAGGGTGGTCTGAGGTGGAGGAACCTTCTTCCCTTTTTCTATCAGTCCTTGAGAGGAAGAACAGTCCCGGATGTCCTGCTCATCCACTGTGACGGCAACGACCTTAGCAACATCAAAGGTGTGGAGCTTGTCACAGCGATGAAGCAGGACCTGATTTCCCTCAGTGACAACTTCTCAGAGATGAAGATAATTCTATCTTCTATCAATGAGAGATGTCACTGGAGGAAAGCCAATCCGGGAAAGCTGAACAAGGCCAGAATGTGGGTGAACAGAGAGATGGGTAAATGTGTTAGTGGTTTGGGTGGAGAGAGTGTAAGGCATCCTTGCATTAAGTTTGACTGCCCTGGCATATTTCTAAGAGATGGAGTTCATTTCACCAATTTGGGAAATGATATGTTTTTAAGTAACCTTAAACAGTCCCTTGAGGCTACAATCTAAAGTGGTTCTGCATTTTGGATTCTAGCCTCAACAGGATATGTATATTTAACAAGAATAACTTTTACATTTGACAGGGCAGTCCTCCTTGTAAGGATGTCTTCACTTACTCACACTATTTTTTTTAAATGTGTAATTTAATTAAATTGTTCACTCACATTCGGTGTTCTTCCTCTCTCTTAAACTTTAGTCCCCTTGTCTTTTTCTCTCTTTCCCTCACTCATCTTAGTCCCCTTGTCTTTTTCTCTCTTTCCCTCACTCATCTTAGTCCCCTTGTCTTTTTCTCTCTTTCCCTCACTAATTTTAGTCCCCCTGTTTTGTTTCTCTCTTTCCCTCACTCATCTTCCCCAGCCTCACCAGCCTCACCCAGACGACGAGACGGCGTACAGAGAGGAGGTCGAAAACCTGACATCTTGGTGACAGGATAACAACCTCCATCTCAACGTCAGCAAAACCAAGGAGCTGATTGTGGATTGCAGGAAGCAGCAAAGAGAGGGACACAGCCCCCCATCGCCATCAATGGGACTACGGTAGAGAGAGTCAGCAGCTTCAGGTTCCTCAGTGTCCATCACGGACACGGCTGCATCACGGCCTGTTACGGCAGCTGCACCGCCCTCAATCGTAAGGCTTTCCAAAGGGTGGTAAACTGCATAGAACATCACCAGGGCGGAGCTGCCATCCATGGAGGACCTTTACTCCCAGCGGCTCAGGAAGAAAGCCCTCAGTTTATGTTTATGTTTATTTTAGAAATGTTTTGGCACATTTGTTCCAATTCTGCTAATGGTATATTGCAGGATATTTAAGTCTCCCATGTACTTTTTTAATTAATAATAGTATGTTCATCTTGATGTTTAACTTGTAATATTGTAATCATCTTAGTTAGAAATGCTGTTTCCACCCCATCCTCTGCTGCTGAATGATTTTATATATTGTTACTTAAAGTGCTTGTCTTTGATATTATAATGATTACACCAGAAAGTCACTCTTTGTGAGATTTATTTGTTCACATTTTTCCCAGCCACAAGATGATGTTCATTCATTGGAGGCCTCAAAGCTGGGTGAAGGTATTGATGCACGGATCAATGCAATCCTTTACAACAGCATTCCACTATGGTTCGGGATGTCTGTAAAAAAAGGAGAAATAATCTTAAACCAAATAAGTGTCGCAATGACTGATTTTAAATGCCATTTTCTTAATCTCTTTCATTTTTTGTAAAGCACTTTGAATTGCCTTGTGTTGAAAAGTGCTATATAAATAAACTTGCCTTGCCTTGCCTGCCTTGCCTTGCAATATAGGGAAACAAACTGACAAAAACATCAATTAGATCAGAATACATTTACATTGTTACAGCAGAAAAGAGCCAAAGTATGCATAAAAGTATTAAAGATTCAAAACAAGAAATTATAATTTAAAAAAAATACACATTTCACAAAATACACATCCAGCAACAACAGTTTGGAGGATTTAGAAGCCTGGTATATTACACAGTTTTAGCGGCATATTTATATATATATATATATATATATATATACACATGGTTGGTATTTAACAACAAGGGGTGTTGTACTGTGATATTGGTATTTATGGGAACATTTTACTCCTTTCCTTCAAGTATTATACGTTTTAGTTACTTGTGGGCTACTTAACATGAATAATCACAGTTACTATCCTTTTACTCCATCACATTTCAAAAAGAAATAGGCTATTGTTATTTTAACTCCACCACAGTAATCCATCATCAGCTTTACTTTTTAGATAAAGTTTTAACTCACAATTGATCATAACAGGCTTCAACATATACATTTGTATATATTACCAAGTGGTTTCATGTACAACCCACACAAGTATCATGCTAAATAAAGCTCTGTTGCTTGGATATCACTAGATCCTGATGTCAGCGTAATATAAAAGTACATAACGATTGATGTGTAAGTTAGCATAATTTACTAGCTAGCCACTAGCTGCTAACTGCCGCCCCGTTAATATAAATCCAGTACCATGCTGTCATGAACGTGCGGTGCTGTTACGTGTACGCAAATTCACGTGCTTAATGTGAACGAGCCTTTTGGGTGGTTAAAGTTGCGCATGCGCTATGAGTGCACATACGGGTACTTCTCAGGCATGCCGGGTAATCTGTGACGTTTCGCTCTCTCAAAAGTTGGGCCATTTTGTCATCATGCGCTAATGAGCAACTCTCATAGGAATGAATGAGGCCCCGCCTCCCACGCTGTATCCAGTTCTTATTATACATGGTCGGGACACGTAACATGAACGTGCCGGGCGGCGCGGTCCCGTGGGTTAGATGCGCGTTCATAATGCAGAGGGAAATAACTCTCAGAATAAC